AGGATGTCTTGGAAAAAAATGTAAAATGATTATTAAGATAATATTATTAATTTTGTAGTCAACAATAATAGTTAGAAACTTGTGTTGAGGCAGGCAAAAACATTTTTCAGAGACCATAGACCTTCACTGACTTTGCTGTTAACACAAGTGGTAAAAGGGTATTAAAATGTGAGATCATCTCCCTGGGCTTGCACTGAAAGAGAGTATGGGTAGTGGGACACATTGTTCATTTCCCCCACCCTTTTTATGCCAAGAGACCTGATTTGATAAAACTTATTCACTTCAGTTAGCATACAGAATTAAGTTAGTCTTAAACTTAGAAAGATGGAAAAACTTGGGGAAAAAATTTGTGGTACCAAAAATGTAACTACAGACTGCTCTTCATCAACCTTCACAGCCCAAACAGACACCCTGTTCAAAACTCTAAAGGGTGAAATGGTCACCACCCTAACTAAGCAGCACATACCCATCTAGGCCAAATAAGCCAAGGGTAGTATGTAGAAAGAACTGCTGAGGGGATTGGGCTCAAGGGACAATAACTTCTTTTGATGGTTGATAAAAAGTCAATTTTACCTTGTTTATTTTACTTGTAAATCAGATTCATAACTTACACAAACAATTGAAGTTGTACATTTTTCAAGGTCCTTCTGATTCTCTTTATAAACTTTGCAAAACATTCAATTTTCTTTTTTCTGTTTCTTATACTTCAGTCCTTTGAGGGATTTTCTCAATGTATACTGAGCATACCCCTCTCTGATGTACTCACTCTTATTAGCAACTGGATTAACCTCTTGTCCCCACACTCAGATTCAAGTATAATTCAAAACTATGGGGTAATTTTTGTACAAACAATTTCAAGGAAGTACTTAAAACCGAAGTCACTATCTAATATAAAACTACTAAATACGGTATTGCTGTTGGAGCTATTTATTGATTATCACACAAACGATATTCCAGCGAAGGTTTTGAAGATTCAGTAAGCCCTTCCCTGCAGCCTTTTGATATTAAAAATAGCTTATACTGACAGACCCAGTGTAGGTGAAGCAAAGTGATTGGAAAGTTTAACCTGGCTTTTACTAAATTAGCCCTGTATTCTGTATTTACGCCCACAAATATTTGTTGTGGCTCCCGGTGTACAAACAAACTTACGAACAGCGAAGTACAAAATTGGTTTAGTGAACATTCCCACATGACTGTTGCAAGACTCATACTATAATGAACTCGTAGCATATGTTTAGGATAAAGCAGAGAGTTCTTAATACCACCGTAGGTGAAAAAATATATAAGAGATGGAGCAGGTTGCCCTGAGGCTGGTCGCTCGAAAATTCACGAAGCTTATAAATAACTGAACTTGCCAAGGTGCCGAATCACGATGAGCGAAGTCACTCATGAACTGTTCATACATCACGCCTCCTGATGTCCAAAAATTTCATGAAAAAAGTTCATGAAAACCTTTTCTTGATGTTTGGACACCGTAAAACGTAAAACCGAGCAAAAACTCATCATCTTTCCATGTCCGCATTCTCCGCCATATTTGTTTTGAAGGAAAATTGGTACTCAGTCTCACTCGGCCAAATTTCTTAACTGGGGCGATCATGTAAACTTGGTTCCAGACCTCGCTGCCAGCCCCCCCTGACTGCACGTTTCACAAACATGCGAAAGCCAACCGACGATTGCGTTTTTCGCTGCTGTCAATCATCTTATCTTAACGGACCTCTTAGGAAACAAAACTTTACTTCACGGGTTCAAAAGGTCATGGTTTGCGATTTGTGGATTTCGATCCGTTTTGTGTTTCTCTGTTTCAAGGTTCGTCGCTTGTGATCGTAATTATGATTGACGGCAGCGAAGAACACAATTGTGAAGGTGGCTTTTGAAGTTTAGAGTTCGCATGTTTGTGAAAAACGCAGCAAAGTCTCAGTGCAGTCAGAGGCCCCTGGATCAGGCGGGATCAATGGGCAGTTGGCTGTCTATTTCAGTATACTTCTGGTTTAATTTTCATACAATACAATATTTCTGTCTAGTGTAAATCAGCTCCGTCCGTCGCACTTTATGCTCGTAGAAACACAACAATTTTTCGAATTTCCGGTTACGTCAAATTAGTCACGTTATACTGTCACGCTATATTTTGGGGCACAGAGGGATTGGGGGAGGGGTGTGTGAAAATAATGCAAATCGTTTCCGGCTTAGAATTAATGGCTTACTTGTTTATTTTTATTCATAATGGTGGATTTTAAAAGTAATTATACAGCCCCCACTTAAAAATGGTACTCTTTTTTTTGGTTACGAAAGTCTTTCAAAAGGGTACAATGTTCTGAATGAGTTTATGTTTAAGTCTCACATGAGGTTCTGTCGCATGCAATGGTCGGCGACAAGGTTTTGTAGTAGCCTCATGAGTGTGTATAGCCGCCCCCTCCCTCAGAAAAAATAGCCCCTTTGAAGCCCAGTTAAAAATCGCCTTTAGGCGATTCTTGTTCAGAACGGTATCGGTCTTCGCGGCATAACATGGGTCTCAAAGTTCTTTGTCACGCAATCTCGTTTCGCTAAAGGTCCGGGTCTGTTGTCAAAAATGTGAGTTAGGTGAAAGTGTTTCCCTTTTTTATAGCTATAAAAATTTGTTTCATGAGAAATGAGAGCATTTTAAAGAATAGTTACCAACACTAAAGCCGTTTTTGTACATAATGATAACTGTACACCACTGACGACAAAAGTAAACAAGTACGCACGTTAGGGAAGTGTTGTAGTCAAGAAGTTCATAGCTCACTTTCGCACAGTAAAATTGCTTTTCCTTTTGAAAAGTTGCCACTGTGAAATCTAGAATCATTTTTGGTGTTAAAATCTACGGAAAAGAGGCGAATTTGCGCCAGAGTTTCAAATGCTGTCTAAGTTCTCGCTTGTATTCATCAATACAACTGCAAGTTCAAAGGTAGTACATCAAACGAGTACTGTGTTTTCAGTTGTAAAAACTCGCAGTTTGAATTGCCCCCAAATTTCATTTCACAAATTGATAGGGGAAGCATTGCTCTTTCTCTGGAATACTTTTTTTCTAATGAAAGCCATGTAAGCCTTGTACCAGGAAGGGATTTGCGCCGTTGAAAAATGGCAATATTGATGGTCGCGATAATACTGATTTAGAGGGTAATTTTGAAAAAATATTAAAAAATCAGACAGAATGAAATCTTTTGAAATTGTAACAACGTTTAGATACAAAGGAAGGATCGTGAAATTGTTTAATATAAGAAAAGTCATGGTATTAGTTTAAGTTTCTATTCACGAAGCGAGGATATCACGCACATTTTTCGGTGGTTTGAAGGACTCTCGAAGGTGAAAATTGAAAAAAAAATTGATTATTTTGGAAAATGTAAAGTCAAACGAACTGAGTCTTGTATTTTCTAAAATAGTTTTCAAAGGGCTTTGTTGTGACAAAGTTTGGGGGATTTCGATATTTTCATCTTGCACACCTATCCGTGGTATTTATAGAAAGTCGCTCTTAAGGGGTTTTTAGATTTTAGACTATGTACATCCTACAGACTACGACAAGCTTTGAGCGCGCTATGCACCCGCTGAGGCTATTGTACAGTCTTAGGGGCTGTTTACATGGAGGGAGGAAGATTCTCACACCAGGAACAGGCTAGAAGGCGGAAGAACTTTTCGTTGGGTTTACATGCAGAAATCGTGGTCCGTGCGGTCAACAGAAGAGAAGGAAACAAAGAGCAAAGGTAACCCGTTGAACGACCTCCCGCCATTTTTGTTTTGTTTGTCCCTAGTACTAGGATCTTCATAGCGAAGGCAGTTTACATGGTATTAGGATCTTCTTAGTGCTAGGGTGTTCCTGTCTCTTAGCTAGGAAGGTCCTAGCACTGGGGACAATTATAACCCTTTACATGTAAACTGAATACAGAAAACATATTGCACCAGGATAATCCACCGGCCTTATAGGATCTTCCTTCTTCCATGTATATAAGGCATTAATGTTCCTGAAGGGCTGAAGGTTTGTACTTCGTTAAACGTAGTAATAAGAAGTAGATGTCCGCAAGCATTTTGCTACGATTTTAAAGTTTATGGCGTTGCTAAATAAAGAAAATATAAATTTAGTTAAGAGAGCCTGAGATCACTGTGAACGCTTATGTAACTTGTTAATACGTGCAATTGGTTGCAGCTAATGGCCAGAAATTATTAACGTTAAAACTAACCATTAAGCAATTTCTCTGAATAAGAATTGCTGTTTTTAATCGCCCGAAAAGAGGGAGGGATAGAGAGAGTCAGAGTGTAAGGAGAGAAATGGAAAATCGAGTTGGAATATTGCAGATTTAAAAAATAAAATTTAGCAGATGTTTGCATTTTGCCTATTGGCGATTTTAATATCATCAAAAAGCAAAGGCTTTTATTTTTCGTTGAATACAATGACAATTTCCTTTTCCACTCCGAGGTCCGATTTTTGCAAATTCGACACTACTCCTGTGGACGGAGCCTGATAGCAAGATAATGAGACAAAAAAATAAAATGAGCCGAGACTGTGTGCAATATTGATTTCAAAACAGAACTTCTAAAGACTTAATTTGCAGTAAAAATCTCTGCGTGAGTTAATTATGTGTTTCTTGTCAATACCGTAAATGATCGATTGAGCGCCGCGTAATTGGAAGCGGCGCTTATTCGAGAGCGGCACTAATTTTAACTACGGGTAAAGCGTTGAGGGGGATACAGAGAGAACTCACAGTTGTGCAAGAAAAAGGAATAACGTGTTCACCTCGAACAGTTATGTTATCACGAGTTGGTCGTGGTCTTATTTCTCAAGCAATATGGTTTTGATATCTCTTTATATCAAGCGCCGTATAAGGTGGGGCGTTTCTTTCTAGATACCCAAATTAGCGCCGTGGCGCCTATTCGAGAGCGGCGCTTATAAAATTACTTTCGGTAAAGATGCGACGCTTATTCGATTAGCGGCACTTAATCGATCATTTACGGGATCTAGCAATTGTCACACAGGTAACTTCAGAAAAATGTCATTTACAGTTATATGTAATGTGCTGTAATTCATCTCCTTTGCAGGGAACTTGTCGCCACTTTGAGTTGTAAACGAACTGCGGGGATTGATTTGGAGAAAGACTCGGATTAATGGATGATTCAACCCAGTCACTTCTCGTAGCCAAAAAACCTGCATCATTTAATACGGCTCTGACTCTGTCTGCCAAACTCTGTAGTCCGGTTCCGGGAAATCGAAACCATTCCCTTCCTCCGTGACAAGAGGGATAGACACTATAACCGCTGTTTGTCAAATTTGTGCGGACCCTTCCTTCCGCTGTGCTTAGCGCCACGGTAACATGAAACATATGGTTACATACCAATTGGTGGGGGTTTCCAGTCTGAAGTTCCCCTACTCGAGCTCCGCAATTATTGTCAGGTCTAGATGATGAGCCTACCTTCCCGAATGGTGGCGCGGGCTGGCTTAGACAAGCCCGCATATTAATGATATATACAACGCCCGTAGTTTTTTTTGGTTTTGGTTTCTGCACTGTTTTGACGCTGGGGCCCGCTTGGGAGGGCTTATTAACTGTCTTAACTGTTCGATGAGGCCGCGTTTTCTGAGGCCTTGTTGATGCTGTTCTGTGGGGGCGGCTAGTTACCTTCGCGTCTTCGGCCGGTCCAAACCATTCTGAGGAGTCCGCACCTGTTTTGTTGTAAACAAAAGTGAAAATATTTTGCTCCTAGCAAATTTTGGTCTTACCAAATTTAAGGCGCCTAGGAGTCTTTCAAATTAGTGCAATGGCTAACTTGGAAATTAGATTTCAAGCGCCTTTGACTCGTCCAGGCATTAAACTTGAGAAGATCACGAGTGGGGTGGGGGGGGGAGGGGAAGAAATTTAAAAAAAATCACACCTGGCCTGAAAGTACGCTTTGAAGATGCCTTATCGAACGGAAGAACTTTTGACTGCACAACAATGACGAAAAACAAAAAGCTTTAATGGTAGAAGGAATGAAACTAGTAATTTGGAATCACCAAGAACTAAAATCAAACTAAGATTATTTCTAAATATGCAGCAGCCCGCCGTGACATAAGACCATCAAGATTATACAGTCAACTCTCTCACAGCGACCATTTTTTGTAAGCAACCACCTCCCGTAAGCGACTACTTTACAAATAATCCTTTTGTTTCTCAATCAAACAGTTCAACGTGAGTTCTTTTTCTTGATTATTCCCGTAGACCACCACCTCCTGTAAGCGACCACTTTAATTTGTCGTGCACCAAGGGTGGTCGCTTACGAGAGAGTAGACTGTATTTTAGAAAGTCATCAATTACTTTCCAACATAGTAATGCCAAGTAGAAGATGTATGAACCGTTATTGCTAACAAGCCGCCTCGCAGCCTTGCGATCTTCGCGGCAGTATAATAAAGACAAGAAAACCGCGCGCGAAAGTCTCAAGGTACTGAAGGTAGAATAGATTTTCAAGCGATGTAACATAAAATAGTGTAAGTGAACTTTTATGACCTAATGCAGATCAGATAATATAATAAGAAAACTTTTTATGCTATCTAAAGACAATATTTCAAATTCTTTATGCAGTAGAACAGTTTACTTTATTATTTTCAAGGTAAACTTTCAGTCATGAAATCGAATTGAGTTAAAAATAATTTTACCCAAATTCACTTCCTGTTTACGCCGATAAGAAAAACTAATTTCTCTCGCATTCATTCGATCTTCTAACTTTTACGTTTTTGCCAATATTATTATATATTTGTTTATAGGCAATTGGAAGCCGTGTCATTTTTGCGTAATTCTGCCCGGCCCGAGTTACGTTGTCGGCATTGCAGCTAATTTTAATTAACGGGTGGGGCTGTAAATTCCTTTTTTCCACAAAGCGGTCTGGGCTTTCGTATGCCGCGGTGTCGTACTGATCAGTTCCTTTCGTTTTTTTTTTCGTCATAGGGTGTTCTGTAATTAAGTGCGATACTGTAATTTTAATTTACGGTAGTTTTGCAAAAAAACTGGCTTTGAGGTCCCTGCTTACCTACAGCAGGCCTCTGTATTTATTCCCGTGTGAGTGTTTTTGTTGGTAGTGTAGGCGAGGAACTTTCTGTCGATTGATTTTCAAAATTACGTTGCGACTACAATCCTGGCCAAAACGATTTGGGACGCTTCTCTTACCCTCTCTCCTTTTTGGCAGGAAATTGTTTGACCGTAGTTGCAAAACAGTAGGGACTTAAAGCTGAGGACTACGAAAGGGTCTAGTACGGTGACCGGAAGTATTTTTCCCTCCACGCATCTCTGCCTCAAGTTCAAGGTAGCCTGTTCCAGGCTCTCAGATAGTGGGAAAGACGCGAAAGAAAAAGGCACACATCTCGGAGCCTGGAACAGGCTAAGTTCAATTCAATTCCCCTGTGGCTCCCGGTCGAGCTTTCAGATTTGTACACGAGCCGCAATGATCCCCGACCCAAAATGATCCCCAATTTTTTTTCACACGCGACCTGAAAAGATCCCCGAGGAATTATCGGAATGGAATAGGGGGAAGATGTTAGAATTACTAGAATAAAGTAAATTAAAGAATTTTGACTCGAACATGAGAGGACACAGAGGCTTTTTACTGGAAGTACCATCCCACGCAGTGATGTTTTTCTCCGCGGGCAGCTAATTCGACTTAATCCCATTTAATATGTCGCGCTCCTCGAAAGTGCGAAAATTTTCTTGTCGTGTATTAGATTTCAGATGCATTTTCTTAATCTTCATTTCGCGCCAGAATAAATTAGTTTGCGCGCAAAGGGCTCCTAAAAAATCACAAGGTTTGTCCCACCTCGAGTCCACCTTCTGGAGATACGCCGGCTTGGTAGCTGGAATACATTGCCGAGGCGAAGATCTGGCATTTTTTCCTCCTCGTCGTATTTTCTTCACGGCAAATGTTTATATTTGTAGTGAGAATGCAGCGCATATCGGTGGATTTTACTTCATGCGGCTTGCTACTTCTGAAAGAAGAGTGCCGGATTTCATCGTTTTGTTCATGTTTATTAGTGTTGGCAAATGTAAGGTAAATGAACCGACCACTGTAAGGTAAGAATTGAAGTTTTAAATTTGTTACTCGGCGAAAAATCGTGGAATGGGAATTCGTGAAACTCGTGAGTANGTTTTTTTTTTCGTCATAGGGTGTTCTGTAATTAAGTGCGATACTGTAATTTTAATTTACGGTAGTTTTGCAAAAAAACTGGCTTTGAGGTCCCTGCTTACCTACAGCAGGCCTCTGTATTTATTCCCGTGTGAGTGTTTTTGTTCACCCCTTGGGCGAGGAACTTTCTGTCGATTGATTTTCAAAATTACGTTGCGACTACAATCCTGGCCAAAACGATTTGGGACGCTTCTCTTACCCTCTCTCCTTTTTGTCAGGAAATTGTTTGACCGTAGTTGCAAAACAGTAGGGACTTAAAGCTGAGGACTACGAAAGGGTCTAGTACGGTGACCGGAAGTATTTTTCCCTCCACGCATCACTGCCTCAAGTTCAAGGTAGCCTGTTCCAGGCTCTCAGATAGTGGGAAAGACGCGAAAGAAAAAGGCACACATCTCGGAGCCTGGAACAGGCTAAGTTCAATTCAATTCCCCTGTGGCTCCCGGTCGAGCTTTCAGATTTGTACACGAGCCGCAATGATCCCCGACCCAAAATGATCCCCAAAATCAACCTAAATACGACCCCAAATGATCCCCAATTTTTTTTCACACGCGACCTGAAAAGATCCCCGAGGAATTATCGGAATGGAATAGGGGGAAGATGTTAGAATTACTAGAATAAAGTAAATTAAAGAATTTTGACTCGAATTGTCTGAAGTGTTGATTTTTTTTATAAATTTTTGACAATTTATTAAATAATTTTATTATTCATTCAAAATATTTCCCCAATTCTGAATGGCTAAAAGCACAGGCATAATTCACCATAGCCAGTACTAATGACCAAATTTGGAAGAATTTTGCGTTAATGAACCGATGACGTCGAAAGTGCAGCTTTCGTGCAGGTTAATGCACCATTAAACTTAGAAGACCTGGGGACGAGGTTGAGTTGTTTTGGTTGTGAAAACAAAAATGGCGACATTTCACTCGTTTCAAGAGTAACAACTTTGCGAAATAATAGCTAGAAACATGGCAAGAACAGCAAGAAGACAACTCGAAGGGAGACATCTGCAATTTGAAGAATATTTGCGGAGCTGAACAACCCTAAACGTGCACTATCGAAGATGAACTTAACATCGATGGAACGATGGAGATAAGCATGTTTTAGCCATATGCTTTTAAACTAGGAATTATTTTGACTGAATAATAAAACAATTATTGAATTCGGCTTTCATATCATATGAAGAATTATGGTGATCTCGGAGGGTGTTATCCGCCTCGGCCTACGGCCTCGACGGATAACACCCTCATCGATCTCCATAATTCTTAATAAGATACTCAGCCTCACGACTGTTGATTGTGTAAAGTACTGAGCCCTGTTAGAAAAATGAAGCGTTCAACTTACTTTTGTTGTACTAATAATATTTACATATGATTATAAAATCCACAACTAATAAACATAACTAATAATCATTTTCTACTATTTTCTGTGGGAAGCCTAATCAATGCTCCGATAGTCTAGGGTCTGGCTTGAAGAAACAAAACCTATTTAAATGAATGATGATCATCGCAGTTATACGCAACCCACGCAACTGCGAAAAGAAAGCCAACTCTGGCTTCCCACAGAAAATAGTAGAAAGTGATTATTAGTTATGTATATTAGTTCTGGATTTTATAATGTAAATATTATTAGTACAACAAAAGTAAGTTGGACGACTCATTTTTCTAATAGGGCTACTTTTACCACAAGGAGGCCACACAGGGCTACTTTACACAATCAACAGTCCTGATCAAAACGTTTGGGACACAAGGGTGTGTTCCTTTCGGCGAATCCAAAAACGGATTTTTGATCCTAGATTTGCCGGATTTCGCAGTCGAAAGGAACGTGAAATCCGAAATTGGATTTGTAACCTTGGTAACCTTTCGCCAACGCGTGCAATATGCACGACAGCCTCTCAAAAAATGACGTGTTTTCTACTCTTTGACAAATTATGCGATTATACCGTGCAGAATTTAGCGGTCGGCAGTTCGAATAGCGACGATGGAACATATAAAACAGACAAAGAAAGAAGCGCATTAAAATTGAAAATTATCTAAAGAATGTCGGCCAGTTTGATCCAGTTCCCTAGCTCGGATTTTTTTATGTAACACGATCGAGGGCCTGTCGCGTCAACAAGCGAGTTTGTAGTTAGATAGCAGTCCATTTGTTACTTTTAATTATTTCTGATTTCAAGCAATCTTTAGAGACAAATGGTTAGTATATGGATATTTTAATGTACCAGGAACAATCTTCTAGTGTTTTCAGATGTTTTGCGGCAAACGGGCAGCAACGAGGAAACTCTACGGCTTCTATGGGAATACTTCAACTGGAAATA